CTGAATGCAATTAAATAGACTTTTAAATTTGGCCTTCTGAGTTTCACCTAAATTTGAAGCCTGAGCATAGCCTGAGTATCCATCTTGGACTGCAACTGTGGTTTGATGAGTGATGTTGACACTCAGATGTCACAATTAAGTTTGTAACTCAACTGGTTAGGAAAGCAAAGTTGCTGAGGGTGAGAGAAAACAACATGCTAGATTATTCTGAATCTCTTGCCTAAAGCATCTGTTCACATTTTAAGTATCAACCAGACACACATTAGCTGTGGAAAAGTCACAGGGAAGTAGCTTGGTTCCAGATCATTCCTAAAGAAAACAAAGAAATAAAAATTGTGCCTAAATAGGTAAAGAAAACAATTGCTATATAAAAATATGTTCTTAGTTACCCATGTCTAACTAAATAAAACTAGCCCTACAGCTGTACAGATCTTTACTGATACCTTGACATGCTAACTGAAAACAAGAAATCCTGGATTAGAAATCAGCAGAGTTCAGACCAATCCAAAATGGGGATTCTTATTTTCTTTTTTTTTCCTTTTAATGAAAATTTAAGAGTTGAGAGCTGTGCCAACAAGTTTTGTTTTGTTTTGTTTAAGATTCTTTAAGGTGCTGACATCTTAAGGAACATGTTACCTCTTTATCTCCACTCAACATTTCCTTATCTAGCACCTGGCTCAGGTGTTTAGAGGACAGATTAGAGATGCAGTGGGGTTTTGTCTGATTTGGTGGCCTGCTTCCCTTCATGTGACCCAAACAATTCTTGGTTCACTCTGAGATCTACTTTTCGTAGCTCTCACTTTATTTCAATGGCCAAAGTGTATCAGGATATTTAAAAAAATGTCAATTCTCCAACTTGTATATTTGTCAGTGAGGAATAAAGTTGTTGATTGGTGAAGTGCCATATTACTCCAGGGCTGTTCCTAGAGAGCTAGAGTTGCTGGCTTCTAGACAGTTGGGCCAAAACACAGTGTTTGTACAGCCAAAACACAGTGAAGGACAGGATTCATTTGTTCATGCACGAGGTTGTGTAATTGCACTGATGCTTCAGGCATTTGGCAGATGATAACCAAGGCTTCTGAAAGTCCAGGTTAGCAGATCTGAGAGTAAGCAGTTCTCAAGTATAAACTACAAAACACAAAATCACAGTTTGGAATTTGGTATGGAATCAGGATATGGGCTGAGAAACTCCTAGGTAAGGAAAAACTTTGTGTCATTTCCAGTTTGTGGTAGACTGTAAGAAGGCACTTCAAATGTCCTCGAGCTCCTTAACTGAGTCTCTTCTCATGAAGCAAAACTCTTGGTATCCTAGTCCCTGAGAGATGGTACATGATACAAATGACTATTCCTCATCTTCAAGGATCTGTCTGCCAGTATTCAGGAATGTTGCTGCTAAAGTACTAATTAACCGGAAACAAAAAGGGGGATCAAAATGGATATCAATAAAATATCTGTTACTTGGATAATTTCACATTACTACTTTATCCCTTAATCTTCCCCAAATTTCTTTTAATTTTCATCAAGGAGATAATAATTTTGACCACTATTGGTATTCAAACTAGGTTGAAATGAACTGGCAAGTACTGGCCTTTTCTTCATGCATTAGATGCACTATCAGCAGAGCAGGACCTACTGGTTGAATTTTGTACTAGCAAGTGTTGGTGTTTTGCTTTGTTTTCATTTCATGGAGTGGTGCCACCTAAAGAGTTGCACTTGATGGTCCTTGTGGGTGCCTTAGAACTCAGAATATTCTGTCATATAAATATCATTTTCAAAACACTGACCATTCCTCTACCAAAACTGTAGCTAGACAGAAGGACGTTGTCTAACAACTCTTATGCTAGCCCTGCTAACAGTGGTCCAGAGAAATTATAGAATATCTCAGGTTGGAAGGGATCCATAAGGAGCATCAAGTCCAACTCCTGCTTCTCACAGGACTATCTAAACCTAAACCATATGACCATCATCCAGACACTCCTTGAACTCTGACAGGCTTGGTGCCATGACTGCTTCCCTGGGGAGCCTGTTCCAGTGACTGACCACCCTCTGGATGAAAAACCTTTCCCTAATGTCCAATCTGAACTTCCACCAGTGCAGCTCCGTTCCATTTTCTCATGTCCTATCACTGGTCATCAAAGAGGAGATCAGCACCTCCCCCTCCACTGGCCCCTGTGAGGAAGCTTTAGACTGTGATGGTATCACACCTCATCCTTCTCTTCTCCAAGCTGAATAAGCCAAGTGACCTCAGCCACTGCTTGTGAGTCTTGATCTTGAAGCAGTCTACCAGTGCCAAACCTGCTCCCACTTCATTGAGGTATCCTAAACTGCCATGGCCATAAAGTTAATGCATCCAGTGCCACTCACCCATTCCATCTGCATGCAAACTCCAGCTCAGTAATAACATTTTGGATGACTGTTAATAAACTGTACTTGGTTGCAGGAACAGTCACAGAGGAAGGCAATTCTGACAAACTTTTCCTTAGTCCTGTGCTCTGCACTCTCTGAAGATTTAGGATGCACTTTCCTTTTCATGCGACCTCATGTCAAATATGTTTTGGGGCATCAGTGCCCTGTGGTTTAATTAGTATGGCTGCTTCTCTTTCTCCCTGGGACTGGGCTGAGGAGTGACCTGACATGGCAGTGTGTCAGATCTGGGAAATTAATTCCCAGCTATTTCTTCCTTCATCAGTCATCAGCCAACTGCTGCCCTCAGACCAGGTAATTATACAGGCACTTCAGACAGGTCTTGCTACTGGAGGACCATGGAATCCTTGTTCCTATTTCTGACTCCTAAGGCTGGATCCACTTCTCCTAAGCACAGCTACCATGAAGTTGGACATACAACACAACCCAGTCATCACTTTCTGCTTTTGTGGCCAATAGAGAGAGAGGGAGAAAATCTGATCTCCCCAGCATGACTCATCCCATCCTAAACAAGAATCTAAAATAAGCAGATATTAAGCCAATAATCTCAGAAGTTAATTTATCTTTGGTATTAGTAGCATATAGTTGTTTTTTGGTTTTGTTTTTGAGTATTTTGCCACATAAAGCTAGCTCCCATAAACCTGTCCTAAAGGTGAACCATTCTTTGCTGGGCAAATGTGCATCTTCTTGCTGCTTTCTCCTGGTAAAGGGTTTCTGTAAATACTTATCAAGGCAGGGACAGAGAGGGTAGTCACAATTGGAAGATGGTTACGAGATCTACAGCTCTGGTGTCTGCTCTTTGCTGCTTGGGTGTCAGGGAGGTGAGAATTGCACAGAGGTATGAGCTAAGGAAATAAGTACGAGCTGCTCTAGACTCCCTCACGGCATTATCTAACTTTGTGAGGAAGCTGTGAAATCTATTGCTTTGTTAACTTTTATGCCATATTAAACTTCTATATAAAAACTGTTATGTTTTAATTAATTACACAATTGTGAACAGCTATTTGATAGTAGCGAGAAACTATGAGAATGCAATGGCGTGTTGGTTAAGATGTGTTGGCTCCACTCTCACCCTCGTCATGGCAGGAGCATCCTGCTATTTAAGCCTTAAAGACCTGAAGTAAAGACATGAAAGCAGAAAAGCCCCACAATTAGGATGATGTGGTGTTTTACTGCATTTTTTATTGGCACAAACACTTCCCAGAATAACAGCATGAATCAGTCATCTGAGCCAATGTTTAGTAGTCATGAGTAAAGCAGTACTGTTAATATTAAAATGAACTAAACTTGTTTGGTTTGAAATTAAGTGGAGGTAGACAAGAAGAAATTGATGAGGGGAAACAGCAAGCAGTCTTAAGAAACTCTCTCAAAGAAGAACAGGAGCCTTTACAAAACTAGTATGTTGTGGCTTTTTTTGGCCTGAACAGCTGTATCAGCATGGAGGTGGGTTTGCTGCCCTGCTGCCCACCCCACCACAGGGCTGGAGGTGATGCACTCCAGGGCACAGGGCAGTCTCACCTGACCTTGCAGCCCAGCTCTTACATGGGTACCTGCCTGCCCTAGCACCCTTGCAAGAGCAATGTCAGTGTCAGCAGAAGAGAAGAGGGACCTGCTGGGATATAAGTGACTTAACAAACTAGAAACCTGGGTCTATTCCCCCAGCACCCCACTTTCAGATGCAGTACAACAAATGGAGTTCCCACCTTCACGGTTCCCACCAGTGCTCTGCCCAAAATACACTTGCTTGCTTTTTCAGTGGTTTTGTCTGATGACAGTACTGCAGTGCTTCTTTTTCCTCATATCTGTAATCAAATACACACACTTTGCTGTACAAACTGCTAGGCAACCTCTCGCTCTTCAGTAAATTTCCAAGGCACAGGTATTTGACTTAATGAAGTACTCGTGTTTTGCCCAGTCACCACTGCCTGTGCTGATGCTGCCTCTGAGGGGTCAGGTAGAGATAAAAGTCTCCACTCCCCCCCATCACCACCCACCCCTGACACAGCTGTAGAGGTGCCTGCTCGCTGATGTGGAGGATGCATGAGCCCCTGCAGCCACCACTGTCAGATGGGCACTCTGTCCTCATTTGTACCCTGCTCACAAAAAAGGCAGCTAATATTAGGTGGTATCTAGGGACAGGGTGAAAGCCTGCAAACAGATATGCTGGAAGTCTTAACTGGATGGTGCAGCCACTCCACAGCAGATGGTGGGAGCACTTCAGAGTCTCAGCACATTTAGTATGTTGGTTATATCGGAGTTGGAGCATGTCCTCACTGCCAGGATTGGCAGCTTGGGGCCAGCTCCATCCTGGGAGCTGTGCACTCTTTTGGCATGTGAGAGTTGGAGGGTGCCCGGAGCACAGAGCCTGATGCCTGGCTGGGGGGCAGGCAGACCCAGCCTCCCACTGTTCCCCAAGCCTGGCAGTGATTGTGGCATCTTAAAAATGGCATTTCATCTGCAGCCCCGTTGAGAGAAGAAAAGCCTGACTGTTCTTCAGCTGCATGAGCTGCTTGTCACCAGCTCCACTGAAGGATGCTGCCCACCTCAGAGAAAAGCAAAAAAGCACTGCACACAAATTCTGTAAAGAAAATGTTTTATTTAAAGTGTTAAATACCATCACCAGAATGAGTTTGATTTACATTAGTTGGTGTTCATGACAGGCCTAATCTGCCCTTTTTTTTTTTCCCCAACTGTAATTCCTTTTAGCTTTTTAAAACGTACTATGTACAAGACAGCAGTGATCACTGGAATAGTGCTATTTACATGACTAAACCATAAGTAGAGTTGCAGACGTGTGAAAATTAAAAAAAATACATTAATTTTTTTAAAATAAATACTGCATAACAACAAGTATGTACAAACCTTCCATGTGTCATCTCCTTGATTTTAAAATTTGAAATAATTTATATAGGACTATGCATACAAGAATGTGTGAGCACATCTCACAGTGTCAGGAAAATGGTTATGTATTTTTGTTTATATCCTAGGGGATATTGTAGACTGTATGTTAGTAGTATTTATTTGCTGCTGGTAGACAGGTGTCTAAATTATTTCAATAAATATAATTTTACCAGTCTGTCTATTAACAATAATCCATTATATAAACTCTGCAGACAAGACACAATCTCGATTTCTATGATATTGCACAAAGTAAAAGGCATTATAAGTGATACTGTTATTACTTTTGCCCTCTTACGAGGCATTTACAATTTGTTAATGGGAAACTTCAATAGATTTTTCAATAAAATCAGAATAATTCTGTGTGGCCTTAAAGGTAAATGTAATGTATACTTCAAAAATTATTGCAAGGTTTCAATAATAAACCTTAAGTAGGTATTAAAGGCATACAAAGACCCAGAAAAAAAGGATATTTGTTATTAAATGTTAGCCAGTTACATTCCCTTTAAACAACATAATTTAATGAGAAGCTTGAACTTGCAGCACCACCCAATGGTAGTTACTGTATGCTACAAAAACCAGGTTTTTGAAGATGCATTAACTGCAGTGAGGTTCTGGTAATGGTGTCAAATAGCTGTCAGAGTGGTACTGATAAGCTTTCTTTAAGGCTATTTTACAAACCAAAGACTGTTATTTTCCAGACTGATATTACCTAATTATGTCTTTTGCAATGCAAATGTAATTTATGAAAATTGAACTTTACAGCAGAAGAACTGTCTGGATTAGTAACCTGTGTTGCCTTTGTAATCTCAAAAATGTAGCAATCAATTTGGTTTAGTGCAAATAAAAGTGCTTAAATTTATTTCCTAAAAATCAACCAGGTACTTAATTTTTTCTCTTTCCAAAAACCTTCAAGAAATGATAGTTCAGTCTTTGAATGAAAGATGCTGGTGCTGAAAACAAATTTATTGAAGACATCTTACAATGGCCACATGATTCCAGTATTTTGCTGCAGAATTCAATTTGAAGGTGAGAAAAAAATGAAAATAAGTTACCATGCACTGTACAATAAATTGCAAAAAGTTCAAATATCTTCTTTATCAAATACATGCTGAATTACATTAATGTACTCCCAAGCCATGTTGCAAAATCCTTTTCAACATGCTTGAAAAAAAGTAAGTTCTTAATCAATATTTTTCTCAAATAATTCAGAAATGCAGAACAATCTGCAACCCTGAACCAAATATGGGGCATAAGAGAGTAATAAGTCAAAAGGTAGCCATTTTAGAATATTCTGATCATCCTGGGAGGTAGAGGGGAAAAAGAGCAAAAGGAAGAAGGGAGACTGGAAGGAGAGATAGAGAAAGAGGTGGTAAAAGAAGTGTACAATTTGCACATTATGTTGAACTTTACAAGGCTTGTACCTTTTACATTTAAATAAATTTAATATATTACACTTATTTCTTGTCACATAAACAGAATTTTAAATATTTGCTAGAAATTATTTTTTATTTTTAATATAAGTCTGCAAAAATACAGACCATGATTGGTTTAAAGAATGATAAACGTGGTGTGTCTTTGTATCACCCTGTTGCATTCTCTTTCCTTTAAAACCATGCACTAGTGAAATTTATTTTTAAAAATAATATAAACTGTTGAAAATGGCTGATTTATTCTTTTTTCTTTTTTTGCAAGTTGCAGCCCCAAGAAAATAATTTAAGTGTTCAGCTAAATCTGTGTCCATGCAAAAAAGTTTCTTAATTTCATACAGTACAGTATATCCACAGAATTTTATTTTTCAGAGAGTCCATCATGTCTGGGGTTTCACTGTGTGAATAGCTGGAGGTATGAAGCCTGCCACTTTAAGTCTTGAACCTTTTCAATATGAAGATTTTTCAGATCTCAAGCAACTGCTGCAAGTGCCAGTTGACTTTTCCAACATCCTTACATTCTTCTTTTCTTCCACTGTCTGCTATTCCACTGACTTGTAACGTGGCTTCGTGGGAGGGTAACTCCATTTCTGTGGCATAACCAAGCTTTAGGAGTAGAGGGCAGTTAAATAAAGCAACGGGAGCAACAAAACAGATATGCTATTGAAAAGGACTTTTGTTGCATGAAACAGATTGATTTTTTTAGTTTAGTCCATGGCTTCAGATTGGACCAAAACTGAGTCCCTGAACTCCAAACCTATCAGTTCTTCATGATTTCAGTCCATCACCTGAGGGCCTTCTGTAGGGCACAATGTGTGCAACTTCCTTGAGAACACAGGATCGCGTTGCAGCCCTAGAAACAGGCTCAGAAGACACAACATTAAGCATGCAGTGTTACCAGGGTTTGCGACCTGTAATTTTATTTTTTTGTAACGCTGGTTGCTATGACAACAGTTTCACAGCTGCTATGAGCGAGAATATGAAGGTCCTGTTGAACTTTCAAGAGATGATTGGGAAGCTCTTCTAGTGAGAGGAGCTAAAGTTGGGTCTACTAGGGAAGAAGGAGGAAAAAGTTTGAACCACCCAATCACCATGTTGGACAGGTCCAGTTCATCTAAAAGTATCTGTGCCACTCCCATAAAGGATTTGTGATCCATACGTCCATAGTCTCCCCAAACAATTATCTGTTGGGAAAAGAAACAAGAAAATAGAAAGATTTCAGCAAAAATTATGAAAGCTTCAATCTGTTTTGTCAAATGTCTGCTTATTTAATTACAGTAAGGAATGAAATATTTGACTGTTGACATAGTTCAGTTCTTTGCATACTAATTCATGATGGAGACACAGAAATGATCTGGGCAGTAACAGAGCAGTTATCCATGATACCAGAGAAAACTGAGTGAGAGGAGCCCATATACATAGTAGAAGCAAAATAATCTGCAGCTAACTTTTGCTCAGTACTTTCTACTTGCAAAAGCAGTTATTACTGTTGTATTTATATGCTCAACAGGTATTTAAATTATCAGAATTTATTGCCAAAAGAAGCATGAAAGGAAGTTTGAAACTCATTCAGTGAAAACTGTACAGGTGACATTTTCAGGTTCAGATGAACGTTGATGCAAATTACCTGTAAAACTTTCCCTTGGGGACTTTCTTCAAAAGATAGAAGTTGCTGATAAAGTGGTTCCAGAGTTTTTCTTGCTACCTTTGTCTTCTTTTTGGCTATGCAGACTCCATTTTCTAATAGATACACCTTTACATATGGTGCTTTTAAGAAAGAACATAAAGAACAGTAAGTAAAGAAGAAGTCCAGATTTTTTGCATAACAGATGCACTTTCTATTACTATATAAAAATCTGACTTTTAATGGATATATAACTTATATGAACAAATCTCCACAAGCAATATTAATAATTATTCCCATGCAAAGCATCTATGCATTTTCTTTACTCTTCTCCCTGGTATATTTTTTCTTGACTTCTTTTTATATGTCTCTTTTGCCATGAAACAATTCAGATTTTGACCTGAAAAAATCAGGTATTCCTATATATAGTGTCCCTTTACTGTACAAAATGCAAAATAGGCCTATTAAGTAAATGAATGACTTGCAATGACTTTGGTGAAATTTCAATCAATGCTCCAAATTGTTAATAATTTAAAATTATCTACAAGGTGAAAATCAGTGAAGAAAAGACTCTGACACAATTTCTATTTTGGCAGAAGAGCTTGCTAAAAATAACATTATATTGTCCTTTTCATATAGTGTTATAGGACGTTAGATTATAAAATAAGTATCAAATACTGGTCTACTTTTTGAGTAGGTACCTATTCCATGTCTCTTGATTCCCTCTTCATTCCTAAGATTCCTACACAAAATCTTCAGTATATACCTTTCTTTCTACCCCATAATAAAGGATGCATTTGCTATTGCTGAAATATTTTTGTGTCTTCTGGTACCCTGATTTTTAATTTCCTCCTAAAGTAGGGTTGATTTTTTTATATCATTTCAATATGTTATGCATTTCAGTGTACAACATTGTGATTTACTGAGAGGTAAATTTGATAAGAGTTTACCACCCTGAACAGAAAAAACATGGATTTTTTTGGTAGAACTCTATTCTTAGAATCATAGAATGTACTGAACTGGAAGGGACCCATCAAGATCTACAAGTCCAACTCCTGGCACTGCACTAAGATCGTTGCTAAGATTTTTCTTCCTCACCTGGCAGTGTCTTTGAACCTGGTTTTACAACAAGGCCACGGGCTCGGATTATTTCTACTTCCAGTTGTCCTTTCTTGTCCATCATTCCCACCTGAATATCTCCTAGGTAACAGAAAGAAATCCTGGCATTGTAATTCAGAAATACTTAAATATATGAAATGTCATGAGAATTTCTAGGATGAATATGTAGTGACTTGTATCATCTGCTTTCCTTCAGGAAGTATGATCTGGATTTTAACACTAATAGATAATTTAATACATATCCTCTTCACTGCTGTTTATGTTAGTAAACTATTTAAAAACCCTGCAATAAGATCTTGACTCCCACTTCCCATGCCCCTATTACTTCAAATTAATTTCCCTTTCTTGTCTTAAGAATTTCATATTCAAAAAAGGCATCATGGGAATTAGTACAAAGGAGCTCTGTAAGGATGCTTGAAATCTCTTCACCATGCCTTTAGTTTAAGACACATATGAAAAGAGAACCTGTGAATATTAAAAAAGTCTGTAAGCACAATAATAACAAATACTTTGCACCTAAATTACCATTTTTATACGACATTATCAAAGGGATTGAGAGAAAAGACTGGTCTTATTAGTCCCATTTTAAGGATGGAAAACTGACGAAGAAGACATAAAAGACTGATTTTTTTCAAAGCACCTTACTACTTTAGAATGTCTTATTAAGCATCCATGATTACTTTGGCTGCAGTCATAGCTTTGGTCTTAACTGAGTTGTTCAAAACCACATGGGAAATCCATATTTAAAGGGAATCTAGATAAATTCTATGTTCTAATTACCAGACCAAATCGAATATATCATATCTATAGGACATAAACTCTTACCCATTGATGGTGTTGCCAAAGTCTGTCGTCCTACAAGCTGGGCGGGACCAAGTCCATCCAGAAAATCACTGAACTGGCTATCTGCAGCCAACCTCACACCAGGAAAAATCAAACTAGAAATAAAATTTAAAAAAAAAAAAACCATTTGAAATTTTGTTTGTTTGGTTTTTGGTTTTTGTTTTCTAAATGTTTTGCACTTAGTGTTCCTGCTCACAAGGAACTTGCAAAACAATTACTGTAATTTTCAAAATTTCAGTGTTCAACAAGCAGCAATTCAGCCTCCAGCATATAAACAAACAAGTAACAAAAGCACTAATCCTCAATACTTTCGCCATTAGTATTTTTCCATCACACTCTCTTTTTCCAATATATTAAAGACCACTGTTAATTGTTGTAGTATTCATATGAGACCAGTTCAGTAATATATTAATGCACATCCTTACCACTTATTTAGTTACATGAAGGTAAAATTGCTCACGTTTCTCAGTCACTGTGAACTCAATGGCTGAATATCAAGTGCACACGGTGAAATGATGACATTAGACTGAATACTGATTGCTGTTTTTAAAATCACCTTTTAAAATCAGCATTCATTCTATACATTTTGTTAAAAACGTCCTTGAGAATACCATCTATTCAATAATGGAACTGGAATCCACTGTGGCAAATGACCAAAGTAACTTAAAATTCAAATTCTTGCCATAAATTATCTGTGGCCCATTACAAAGCAACAAGAACTAATGAGATTTGTAATGACCAACCATAAAGAAACGTCCATCTCAAGTGCATATAGTGCATCAACCTGGACATGTAAGATATATTGTGTAGTACAGGTATACCACCAGTGCTGTGAATACCACTAATAAATCAACCTACAATAAGACTTTTCTGGGCAATGTCTTGGGTATACCGCTCATAAGTCTTTAACTTGGGCTCTTATGAAAAGCATGATATGTGACAGACTCATACTTCTGCCCAGATAATTTCTTTAGGATTAAAGTAGCAGAATCTTTGAAAAACTCTAGAACCCAGTGAATGACACCAAGAAACGTTCTGGAAATGCTTTGCTCTGCAAAACACTGACATATGCAAGGAGTTTTTGGAAAAGAATTTGTCCTTATCTGTGTTTTACCTGGCATTCTGCACCTGTTTCCCCCTCCTGACACACCTCATGTTGATGTTCTGACCTTCCAGAAGCCTTTCTTATGGCACAAAAGTAATGAGCCTCATCCTTACTGCACCAACAATGGGAGACTCTTTCTGTCATAGCAGAAGACTTAGGCTTGGTCCATCAATGACACTAGCCTGTGAAGGGAATTCTGACTGCACAGGATCTACACCGTTCACTGTGCTTCTCTCTAACTATCAGTTTCGTGCAAAAACGTCAGGAAACCAGAGTTATAACTACCACTTACTTTCCCTCAGAACTGTAGCTGTTCATGCTCCCATCCGTCGATTCCCGGCTAGCCTGACGAGTCATCCAGTTCCTCATCTCCACAGCCAGCCCTGTCTCAGTGCTCCTCTGGACGGTGCTCCGCAGCTTCTTGCCCCCTGCTTCTGTGGAAACAAAAGAGAAGCCCCCATCACACTGGGCTGTCCCAGCTGGGCAGCCCTGCTGGCAGCACACCACCACTCCATGGGGCAAGAACACTCAGAGACAGAAATTAACGACCTGTATCAAAACTTCCATTTAAAAATTAACAAGTTTTTAATAATAGTCGAGCAGCATCGTAAATCTCTTTTACAGGACCTTAGCTCTGTCACTGCCTGCTTTTCAAGGTCAGACAGCATGTACACAAAGCAAGTGGAGGTAACCAGATTTAAACAATCCATAGTCTAGCATGTTTAAAATATATTTTCTTTGGGTGAATAAATCCCTCTTAGGAATTCAATTAAAATGTTACCATGATGTCAAAACCTGCAGATGAATTATTTTAAAACATTTGGTCATTATCTGCTAAATCAAGTTACAGATATCCATTAGTGAGGATCATAAACCACAAATCAAGAACCCTTCCCATGCTTTCTTCTCTATTCACTAGCTACCTTAAATTTATATTTAAAATATGCAGTATTGGTTTTTATGCACAATATGAAACTTTATCACCACCTCCAAGAATAACGATTTTTCCATCTGCTTGCATAGTTTAATTTTAGTTGTAAAAACAGCAACATAACAGACATCTGAGTATCAGACACAGGAAAAAATACTCAAACAATATAATAGTATTTTAGTAACATTTAGGAATTTTGATCAAAACCTCAGCTGGAAGATATACTGAACACAACACACACATAAAAAAAAAAAGAAATTAGTAGAAATGAAGCTTCAGTTTTTCTTTCATTAATAAGACAGTCACTCCATGTAATTTCTGATTTTAAATGCTGTTTCCTGCAATGGAGCAAGTAATTTTGCATACCAATTTCTTTTATCTGTTCTATACACCTCTGACTTCAGCACAGTGATATACAGATGTGTGATATACAGATAATATTATAAAACAGTAAGAACTCTAAATGTAAGCTACACCAAATAATAATAGAATTCTTAAATATTGACACAATGAGGGTAGAGTAATATCCAATATCCTAGGACATCTAGGGACTCAACTTCCTTCTGCAGTTGTTTGTAGCATCTGCTACCCTCTACACCTTTGCTGGTTCATAATGTACCAGAGATCAGAAGAATTTCTGGACCTGTGTGGTTGGTGAATCTCTAGGGATTTGAAAATGGAAATGAGCAAAGGGAGGAGATCGTCCTGGGACCAGGACTCTCACACTCCATGGAGAATATGTGAACACAGGGACTTAAGAGTAAGAGGACCTGTACCCTCAGGGAATGGAATAGAGATATCAGTTTCAACACATGCATTCAGTGTCACTGTCCTACAGGCTGCAGCATGGGATGAAGTCTCCCAGGCCCCTCAAGTCAGGAGGAATATTAGGTCAGATAAGGAACATGGGAAATTAAATGAAGTGGGAACTAGACACCAAAAATACCTTGAAAACCACCAGCTCCTTGTCAAGAAAGATTAATAACACTGCAATATTTAACAGCAGTGAGACATTTCTATAGCAGCATCATGAGTGGTTCAAATCATGTTGGTTATTACAAGCCTTCTACATATTCCTTAAGACCATAACTTTTAATCAGTATGTAAATGTAACAGAAGCAGTAATTCTCCTCTAGAACTTCAGCTGCCCACATGAATGCAGTACCCAATAGAATGAAAAAAAATTTGCTACTAATCAAAACTACTTCTCAAAATGCCCATCAATACCTGATGCAAAAAATACAAATAAAAAAGATACCAGGCTAACATGACATATGAAAAATGAAGGGTAGAAATCAACAATTTCATTTCTATTGGGTTGTACTGTTCCAAGCGTCTGCTGTTTTATTATTTATATTCAACCGATGAAAGCTGGCAGCTGACTTCCAACATTGGCCCAGAGTTGTTCTAAAATACAAGCACTCATTTCAAAGAAATATTCTCACAAAACTACCAGAAAAATATTGTGCTATAGTTTTGTAGAAAAGGTACACTGTATCATAGCTACACAGGAAAGGCACACAACTCCTGAAGCCCCATGCTTGTTATTGTATTGTTACAGGATATTACTCTCCCTTTCCAAGAGCTCTTTTGATCTGTAAATATTCATTTTTATGCAAATTTAACAGAATATCTACACCTTGCATGATTCTTTAATATCTTCATATAATATCTTTCAAAGATTTTGGGGCTTGGGTGCTATATATGTTTGATTATGTGATACACAAAGGAGTATATAGTAACTTTTATTAATTTGTAAGGCAGATTTTTTTGTTCTGAATTAGAAGTCTGTATGCCTTTACTCTAGAAGAAAATTCATAGAATAAAAAATCAACATGTTCATTGCACATCAATTTACTGAGAAATCAAGACAGAACCAGTGCAACTGCCATTCAAGTCTTCATGGAGGCACATGTGTAGCTGCTCACAGCATCCCTCTAAAACTTATTTTTAAGTAGTTTTACTTTCCCACATTGATTTTAATTGAAATAAGTGCTCTGGTTCACATGACAACAGGTACACAGCTGATAAGATACAACTCTTATACAGCATGAAGTTAGGCACGTGTAATATATCCAACTTTTGTATGAGTGGTAAACAATAGTCATTTTGACCTTAATACTGAATTTAAGGAGGGTCAAAAGGAATAACTATAATAACGTGAATATCTCCCAGCTTTCAACAGAAACAGTCAGTGCTCTCTGATGGTCTCCAAAGATCTGACCTTTGATCAATAAGGCTCCTAATCATGATTTTGATGCTTCTTGAAATAAGAATTGAAGATTTCAACAGCAAAATGGCTACTTGGAAGAGAGGTATAGAAGACTCAGATCACAGGCATGACTCCTGAGCCACTGCCTGAGAGATGAATATTCTTTCAGATGAACCTTGGCTAAACTAATATGTAATAATACACATGAGAAATACTCCCACTTGATTGCCCACAATACTAGCAATACATTTATACCTGGAAAAATGTTAATAAATAAAAAATAATCTTACAATTCCTCAAACAATTTAAAATCAAAGACAGTATTTGTATCATCCATAATTTGTTTCATAAATTCAGCATTCAAATACTTAAAATGTTGCGAGTAGCAATGAAAATGTAAAGTATTTACTCAACTCAAAGAAATAGCCTTTAGTGCCATACTTCCAAGCTGTAGCTGGTAGAACATCTAGTTGAAGATCTTATCACTCCAGTAAATCCAAACTGGTTTCCCCCATTCCTGCCTGGAAGTTGAAACCTCTCTTGTGTTTACTCAACTAATCATGTGGCTGCATTCTGTACTGGACCCAGACCAAAAGGAACAAACCAACAACATGAATTAAAGTTGTTCTTTTTCTTTTAAGACAGATAATTTTAAAAAAAAATTGTGAAAACAAGTATACAGTTGAATGAACCCAATTGAAGTAATGCTAATCTCTAGCTAGATGAATAATTTGGGAATGCATCTGACACAAACACAGAAATAAACATGTAACTGGTGTCACTGTAAAAGTGGGGGTTTTATAATCCTAAAGTATATATACATATACACTCATGTTATGCGTGCTGTTTTAATCTTACCAAATAAAAGGACATGGAAACAAGAGGGTTTAGAAGTGTACTTTTTTGTTAAATATGTTGCTGACCACCTACACTGAAAATCATTTTACTCACAATTTCCTAAACTCTAATAAAGAACATTGAAAATGTTCTCCAAATTAGTATAAGCTAATTGCCCTGGCAAGATGAAATTTCTCTCAAGTCCCCATCACAAAATATGGAATACATTATCCTCAAAACACTAGTTCAGATTCTTGCAGCCATATTGTAAGGAGTGGAATAAATTACCAGGAATAATTGCTTTGGTATTTATGAAAGCACATTCATTCTTATGGTTAATCACACTGGTAATTTAACTAATATGGTTACTGCAAATAGACTCCGCAGGCCACATTTTCTAAATTACATGCAGAATTATTTGTTCCCACAACTTGGAGTGCAAATCACTTGCAAATTAGGGATGCAAAACTACTGATATGATCTTCAATAGCAGATGAGGACAAGTCAAAAAATGCAGTGAATGCAACACATCATCTTCCATCATCTAGGATCTAGCCAGATGAAATCTGCCTCTCATAGGGAGAGTGGGAGCTCTCAGCTTGCTCTCAACAAGAACTTCCTGCAACTGCTCCCCAGCAGGCACAGGGCCCTGAGGGAGAACGTGGCTGGCACAGGCAGAGGCAGGCGGGCTGTGCCAGTCCCCAGGTTGTACGTGATCTCTTGGTAGGACTTGTAATGAGTACAGAGCACAGAGCAGCTGTGGCTTCAGAAACACACTCAAGTGCTTGAGGTGGCTCATATCTGCTCTCCCCACCTCAACAAAAAGGCTGTACAAAAACTGCTTCACTATCTTCATTTGAACTCAGGAGTTAGATCCACAAAAAGAACAAGCTGCCTTAAAGTGACCATTTTTCAAGAGTCAAACTCTTTACATATCTTGTTATCTGCTCTGGGCATAATAACACCGGGCTAGATAAAATCATCAGAGACAGTCTACCAACAATTGAACCTACTAAAGAAAAGATGGACCGAGTAGGTCTAAATTCCCTTGCAGCTCCTCATTCTGTGTCTGAAACAGCCCACGTTTTGGCTGCATTGAACAAGGCATTTAGCTTCTTTTGAAATACTGGGAACCACAACCACGTTGTTTCTTTCTTTGTGTCACCCACAGACCGCAAGCAGAAGACATGGATTAGGATCTACTAATTTAAGCGGAATTTGGGAAACCCAGATTCCATTGTCACTTGAGTTTGAGCACACCTCATTGACCTCAGAGGCCAATGCTAACAACCAGCTTATGAAGTGTTGTGCTACAGTCCCTCCAACGAAGGTTTTCACAGTGCACGCTGTCAGCATTTATGAAGCCCAAAGAGCATTTGTAGGGACAGGAAGAAACTGTAACCAGGGGCTTTCCCTTACTTGTGTTCTAGTTCCTGCTTCCATGAATACCT